TAATAGCGCTTAAATGTTGCTCAATCTTTATTAAATAGAATAACAGACTAAATCAGACGGGTATGAACCGGACTTTGGTTTTACAATACAATGTACATTGGATGTTCATTTATTTAGCTCCATGATTGAACAATGTGCTTTGCGGTACGACGCAGGTTACTGTCAGAGTGGACTGCCGCTAAAGCTCGTCAAAAACACAACACAACTGAATCTTTATTAAACACAAACAAGAAAAACATTTTCAGTCCGATGCATTCACTCTGAAATCCCTTCAGTACTCTGTAAATAGAAAGACATGTTATTCAGTAACTGTCAATTAAGTTTTGGAAGACGGATAGAATACGAGAGAAGTCGGCCAATCGCCAAGTCGGCCAGTTACCAAGTCGGCCTATCAGAGATGTCGGCCGGGGGGAGAAGTCGGCCACTTCTACTCTACTAATAGGCAGGGAGACTATACAAATCTATGTTCGTAAGCTACAAAGCAAATTGCTGAGTTCATATAGGCTACCTACTATAATAGTACAACCACTGCATAACAATGACAATGATTTATCTAAAAGGAACAAATAATGTCGTGTTTAATCACAACTATACTCATTGTCTAAACTGTTAATATTTGAACTTGCCGAGGGTGTGAAAGTGTGAAGTTATGCAATGGAAGTGCTTGAACTTATAAGCGGTAAAACTGACTAACCACTTGCTGTAAAATATTGTTGTCATTTGATACCTCGTCAGTCCAAATTTCAGCACCATACATTATGATTGGGGCTTAGACATATTACGAAACGAACCAAATGAACCAAAAACGACCCAAACGACCAAAAAAAAAAAAAAACGAGCCAAAGCGACCACCACAAATCATCGAATAAAGACTGTCCAATGAATTACCGCGGTATTTTCGCGACAGCCATTTTAAGGAGCACATCGACCAATGAGAGCACTGTTATCATCTGGATTTTCCCTGTCAAGAATTACGGAATCATAAAATTACACAGAATAATTAATAATAAACAATAAATAAATAAATAACAAACAAGCAAATAAATAAATAAATAATTTTGATTGTGCTAATTTAAACTTCCCATTAGGTGTAATCATGCAACCCAAGTAGCAAAATTCTGTTACTGCTGTTATGTTTTTGTCATCTAGCGTGAATTAAAAATTTTTTTATCATTCTGTTACCAGTGTTACTTTTGTTTTGTTTATGTTCACAAGATTCCATTGGTTACAGTAATTTGACAAAAATATATACTGCACAAATGTGCCGCTTTCGAGATATCTTTTATCTAATTAATTTTACCAAGGGGTGAATTAAAATACGATACTTTATCTCCAGGATTTATATTGGTGTGAGACCTCTGAAATTTTGAGCAGGATTTAATTTGGCACACGCCATGACAGCTCAGTTTCTGCTGCTTGTTGAAAACAGTTTGGCTGTACAGTAACTCTAAAAGACATACCAAAAATTGGTTATGTCACACTAAAAAAAGAGAAAGTTGTTCAGAAAACACAACATTATTCATAACAACAAAAACAATGAACAGTTATTAATTAATATTTTAAAGGGTAGTGGTCATCATGCTACTGATGTGCGAGATATGGGTCCTTGTTTTATTTTTGTTATAGTCATTTTCAATGATGTTATCCTTGTATATCAAATGAACAGAAAATCTCAAACCATAGAAAAGTAAACAACATAATAAAAATAAAACATGTTTAACAGTTACTGGAACAACAAAAAACAGAAGACCTAAATCAAGGCTAGTTTTGCTAGATATTAAATTTATAGGTTTCATGATGGTGTGCCCTATGTTACGAAAGCAGAGGAACGTCCTCCTGTGGTGTAGTGGTACTGTCTATGGAATTGTTGATTGGTGGATTGAATTCAGTAGTTAACATGTCAATATTGTAGGAAGTCTCGAAATTCAGTCAAATATCCAAGGATATATTGACTACATTATTTTAACAATTTGCAATGGTGGAAATTAATTAAACAAGAGTTGTTTACTAGTACACCAAAATAAGTCGAAAATATTTGTCAAAACACATATTGGAAAGACTTTCCAATGTACTCCCACTTTTAATCCTAACTCTAACCAGACCTCTACCCTCTATTGTTCCCTTCAATTAATTGCACATGCCCCTCTTGAGGACACCTATAGTGACCTAGAGGGAATAACAGAATTGGGAGGGGTCGCTGTAGGGGTAAAGCTAGGGTAAGGGGACATTTGAAAGTCTTTTCATCTCAAACATTTGTTGATATATTTATTTCTCTCAATTTGCAATGGACCAAAATAAGTCTCAAATATTTCTTGAGACATTTATTCTCACAATTTAACAACTTGTAATGGTGAAAATTAATTAAACAAGACTTGTTTACTCCAAAATAAGTCTCAAATATTTCTTGAGACATTTATTCTCACAATTTAACAACTTGTAATGGTGAAAATTAATTAAACAAGACTTGTTTACTCCAAAATAAGTCTCAAATATTTCTTGAGACATTTATTTTCACAATGTAACATCATACAATGGTGGAAAGCATTAACCATTGTGCTATGCTACATAGCTTACACAATTGA